TAATACAGGTATTATAAGGTGTTCATGCCTTGAAATGCTAAAAAAAACTAACTCCTTACGTTTCGGGACGCATTTGGAGCCAAAATGAACCAAGTATGGCGTATATGACCTATTCTTTGCCCATTTTCTTCATTTTCCACCAAATGAACTATTTCTTTCTCTAAACATGTCTATTATAGGTATTATAAGGGGTTCATGCCTTGGAATGCCAAAAAAAACTAACTCCCTAAGGTTTGGGATGCATTTTGAGCCAAAATGAACCAAGTATGGCGTATATGACCTATTCTTTGCCCATTTTCTTCATTTTCGACCAAATGAACTATTTCTTTCTCTAAATATGTCTAATGTAGGTATTTTAAGGGGTTAATGCCTTGAAATTCTAAAAATAACTAACTCCCTACGTTTCGGGTCGCATTTGGAGCCAAAATGAACCAAGTATGGCGTATATGACCTATTCTTTGCCCATTTTCTAAGTTTTTTACCAAATGAACTATTTATTTCTCTAAACATGTATGTTGTAGTTATTCTAAGGGATATAACACTTGAAATCACAAAAAAATACAATTCCCTACGTTTCGGGACACATTTGGAGCCAAATTGAACCAAGTATGGCGTATATGACCTATTCTTTGCCCATTTTCTTCATTTTCGACCAAATGAACTATTTATTTCTCTAAACATGTCTATTATAGGTATTCTAAGGGTTTCATTCCTTGTAATGCCAAAAAAAAACTAACTCCCTAAGGTTTGGGACGCATTTTGAGCCAAAATGAACCAAGTATGGCGTATATGACCTATTCTTTGCCCATTTTCTTCATTTTCGACCAAATGAACTATTTATTTCTCTAAACATGTTAATTATAGGTATTATAAGGGGTTCATGCCTTTAAATGTCAAAAAAAACTAACTCCCTACGTTTCGGGACGCATTTGGAGCCAAAATGAACCAAGTATGGCGTATATGACCTATTCTTTGCCTATTTTCTTCATTTTCGACCAAATGAACTATTTCTTTCTCTAAACATATCTATTATAGGTATTCTAAGGGGTTCATTCCTTGAAATGCCAAAAAAAACTAACTCCCTATGGTTTGGGACGCATTTTGAGCCAAAATGAACCAAGTATGGCGTATATGACCTATTCTTTGCCCATTTTCTTCATTTTCGACCAAATGAAATATTTATTTCTCTAAACATGTCTATTATAGGTATTCTAAGGGTTTAATGCCTTGAAATGCCAAAAAAACAAACTCCCTAAGGTTCGGGACGCATTTTGAGCCAAAATGAACCAAGTATGGCGTATATGACCTATTCTTTGCCCATTTTCTTCATTTTCGACCAAATGAACTATTTATTTTTCTAAACATGTCTAATACAGGTATTATAAGGGGTTCATGCCTTGAAATGCTAAAAAAAACTAACTCCCTACGTTTCGGGTCGCATTTGGAGCCAAAATGAACCAAGTATGGCGTATATGACCTATTCTTTGCCCATTTTCTATGTTTTTTACCAAATGAACTATTTATTTCTCTAAACATGTATATTGTAGTTATTATAAGGGATATAACACTTTAAATCACATAAAACTACAATTCCCTACGTTTCGGGACGCATTTGGAGCCAAATTGAACAAGTATGGCGTATATGACCTATTCTTTGTCCATTTTCTTCATTTTCGACCAAATGAACTATTTCTTTCTCTAAACATTTCTATTATAGGTATTCTAAGGGGTTCATGCCTTGGAATGCCAAAAAAAAACTAACTCCCTAAGGTTTGGGACGCATTTTGAGCCAAAATGAACCAAGTATGGCGTATATGAACTATTATTTGCACATTTTCTAAGTTTTTTACCAAATGAACTATTTCTTTCTCTAAACATGTATATTGTAGTTATTATAAGGGATATAAAACTTGAAATTACATAAAAATAAAATTCCCTACGTTTCGGGACACATTTGGAGCCAAATTGAACCAAGTATGGCGTATATGAACTATTATTTGCACATTTTCTAAGTTTTTTACCAAATGAACTATTTCTTTCTCTAAACATGTATATTGTAGTTATTTTAAGGGATATAACACTTGAAATCACATAAAACTACAATTCCCTACTTTTCGGGTTGCATTTGGAGCCAAAATGAACAAAGACTTGCCTATATGAACTATTATTTGCACATTTTCTAAGTTTTTTACCAAATGAATTATTTCTTTCTCTAAACATGTATATTTTAGTTATTCTAAGGGATATAACACTTGAAATCACATAAAACTACAATTCCCCAAGTATTATGACGCATTTGGAGCCAAAATGAACAAAGACTTGCCTATATGAACTATTATTTGCACATTTTCTAAGTTTTTTACCAAATGAACTATTTCTTTCTCTAAATATGTATATTGTAGTTATTATAACGGGTACATGCCTTGAAATCACATAAAACTACATGTCCCTAATTTTTCAATACCATATTCAAGCAAATTGAACCAAGGAACTAAATTTAGGGAAAGTGTTACCGCAATTTCCTGAGTTGTGGGGTTTACTGGCACTGTGCCTTTCCCAAGCAGCTCCTTGAAGTGTGTCTTCATAAACAGCTCTGGAGCTGTTGGTAGCTGGCCCTTGTTCTTCGCCGCCTTTGATACAAAAAAATAGGAATAAACATTAAACAAGTCGCACCCTTGTTACTTTGAAATACACAAAACTGCCTTCTAATATAAGATCTTTTTAAATAAACTTACCATCCTTTTTGCATGTTGGGTCGCTGACAACGAACCCTGAAAGTGGGTCCCTCGGACGGGATTTTCCATAGAACCGCTCCTTCTGTTCTTCTTGTTCTGTGCCGACCTCTCCTTGTAAGTTGGATCCATGGCAACAATGTCCATCATCTCCTTGTAGATCTCCTCACTCAACCAACTTGGCCTGGCACCTCTCATCTTGTGCGTGATGGTGTTGAACATGTCACGCAAGCGTGTGGCTACCCTCCGCCGAAATGTGACCTTCACTAGCTCGTCCATCTGAGGTGCCCATCTGAATTGTGCCTGCAAATGATAAAATACAAAAGTATTACACAAAACTAAATCCGTACAATAACTAAAACATATATTATCCTAATTGAACCAGAAATATCATACGCTGAACAAGTTGAACCAGTGTTCCTTCGTAGCTGTGGTAACTTCTCCAAAGTTCCTCCAAGGGGCTCGGTAGTATCCAGTAATCGTACCGGATAACGCACTCCGAACTTTAGGATCATCAAACCTATAACAAACGGGAAACAACAATGTTAAACAAGCTCGACAAAAAAAGTAATATAAGCCTTGTATCTCATCATCCATATCATGATATGTACGTACCACAGCGTAGTAGGGTCTAAAAACGGGAGCTGTGACTCATCATGTGAGTCATTCTGTGACTCATCCCGTGGCCCATCTTCTAGAGGAGTGGATGGGCCCGTTTGATCCTCACCCAAATCGTGTGCCTCGGCATTCGTGCATCTCCTCATCTTGGCGTCGGTGAAAAGGGCGCGGGCGGTTATTTTCTCTTTCCCCTTTACTTTCTTCGACGATTGCCCACTTTTTCCGCCCGCCATGACTACCTGAATCACATGTTAGTAAAATGACAAGATATTATAAATAACAAGTGCAGTGCAATGTAATATGCCTTTTATACAAACACTTAAGCCTAATTAATATTTTAATTTTACAACAAGAAGCATAATTTTGAAGGAGATAAATCACCTACAAAGTGGTTGAATATCAACATCACGGTTCATGAATTGAATGAACTGAAGCGCAATATGTAAAATTCATAATTATGTTACGGTTAGAGCGCGTATATCACCTTGTGATGAAACCAATCAGAGAATTCAGCTTCGAAATTCTCCATAACTTCTTCTCTACGTAAGAAAGGCCGAGTACTAAGAATGTAGTCCTCAAACTTCCTACGAGGCCAAACAAACGAAATGTTTATCTATAAAGTCAGCACTATAATTGTTCGGCAATACGAATACACTAAATACCTAAACTTAATATACCTTTCGTATTCGCCAAGAATGCCGGTGTTTCGTAACACGTACAAATGTGCACACTCGAGTTCTTTGTCATCTAAGAACCGAGTTTTCCCCTCATTTAACACACGACCTCTATCCTCATTGAACAACTCAGGTATTCCGACGTCGTCCAATGTGGACTCGACGTCGGCATTCACATTTCAGCCAAGATCTCGAGTTTTAGTGTCAACTGTCGACTGAAAGTAATTGGAGCAGAAGTTTGATATCTCTTCAGCGAGATAAGCATTGCATATGGACCCTTCAACTCGAGCCTTGTTCCCAATTTTCCATTTCAAATGATTGAGGAACCTGCAATTATAGTTATGTAAATGTATGAACAAGTGATTAGGATGTACGACAAAGGATCTGAAATAAGAGTCTTTGATTTACCTTTCGAAGGGATACATCCATCTGTATTGTACAAGACCACATAACTTCCCCTCGTACGACAAATGTATAGGCAAATGCTCCATGGAGTTAAAGAATGCAAGGGGGAAGATCTTCTCAAGCTTACAGAGGATCTCAGGTATGTTTTTCTCCAATCGCTCCATGTCACTAAGTGATGTTGTATAGTAACACAAGTCGCGGAAGAATTGGATGATCTTTGTAATTGCATTCCAAATATGGCCAGGGAGCAATTCCCTCAAAGCTGTGGGCAATAGCCTCTCCATGAACATGTGACAGTCATGGCTTTTCATTATATAGAGCTTACACGCTTGCAAATCTATGCATCTGCTCAAATTTGAGGCGTATTCATCAGGGAACCGCAGCTGTTTAACCCACTCACACAAAACTTTTCTCTGAGCCTTGTCAAGAGCGAATGGAGCCTTTGGCATTACCTCTTTTCCTCTATCATTCTCTTCAAGATGAAGCTGGGGACGTTTACAATATTTAGCAATGTCATTCCGAGCTGAAGGCGTGTCACACGTATGCTTTTTCACATCCATTACAGTGTGAATTAACTGATCAAAAAGTTCTTTTCAATGTGCATGACATCTAAGTTGTGACGAATGAGGAGATGCTTCCAATATGGGAGCTCCCACAAGGTGCTTTGCTTGAACCACCCCTTCTTTTCATTTTTGAGCCTTTTAATTGAATTGGGTCCATCTGTAGCCTTCGGAAGGTCCTTAACACATTCCCACAACTCCTCTCCTGACATGATGTGTGGAGGGGCTCCTTTCTCTACTTTGTTTTTACAGAATGCTGTTTTACTGTTCCGAAAAGGGTGATCTGTCGGAAGGAATTTTCGGTGGCAATCAAACCAAGAAACTTTACAACCATGTTCAAGCCAAAATGCTTTGGTCTTCTCCATGCAATGTGGACACGCTTTCTTACCAGCCGTGGCCCAACCAGACAACATGCCATAAGCCGGGAAGTCACTAATGGTCCATAGGATGGCTGCTCGAAGATTGAAATTCTGTTTCTTCGAAATATCATAAGTAGTCGCGCCAACTTCCCACAACAGTTTCAACTCCTCTATCAGCGGTTGCATGTAAACATCCAAGTTGCCCTTAGGGTTTTTAGGACCAGGAACGAGCAACGAAAGGAATATGAATTGTCTTTTCATGCACATTGAGGGAGGCAAGTTATTAGGGGTCAAAATGACAGGCCAACAAGAATATTGTCCCCCAAACTTACCATGAGGAGCAAAACCATCTGTACACAAGCCAAGTCTCACATTACGAGGCTTAGAAGAAAACTCTGGAAACCGACAATCGAGGTGTTTCCAAGCTGCACTGTCACTAGGGTGTGCCATTGTGCCTTGAACTCTGGGATTTTTCGAATGCCATGTCATTTCCTCCGAAATGTTCTTCGTTGCAAACAGTCTTTGCAACCTGGGTGTGATCGGGAAATAAAATAGAACATTCAAAGGCACAAGGCTACCTTTGGAAGTCTGCTTGTATCGGTCGCTGCCACAAACCCGGCATTCAGACAACTGAGCATCATCCTTCCAAAACAACATACACCCTTTCAGGCAGGCATGAATCTTTTGATGGGATAGTTCCAACCCCTTCACAATCTTCTTCACCTCGCAGAAAGTGTCGGCCATATGGTTGTTTTTCGGAATCGCCTCACTTAGCAAAGAAGAAAACCCATCAACACATCTGTGAGGCAAATTATACTCACATTTTAGACTAGTGATTCTAGCGGCCATCTCTAACACAGACAAAGAACTCCCTTCGTATAATGGCCTTTCAAAAGCCTTCAATAAATCCAGAAAATGCTTAGCAGTTGCATTAGGCTCCTCTTCTGATGAAACACTAGCCTCCTCGAAGTGCCCTTGATCTTGACTATGACCAAAAGCATCCAAAACCATGTCACGATATTCATTGGACCACCGTTCGGGAACTCCCGGATACCCTTCCCCGTGACACATCCACTCATAGTAGTTAGGTACGAAACCCTTGCCATACAAATGAATTTTAACCGTATCCGCATTCCAAAGGCGTTTGTTCTTACATTTAACACATGGACACCTAACCTCATCCGGATTACTACTCTCGGGATGATCTGTGATGTACTGAATGAATTCATCAACTCCTTTCACAAAATCTGGATTAATACTTTGCCCAATCGTCCTTTTATACATCCAGCTACGTTCTCTACGTTTCATGATTACAACTTCTACACAGCTCACGCATATGTACAATCACATTAGTCATGAACGGTATTTCGCAGTCATTATCCACCAAAGCGTTATGAAAATGCAAATGAGATTTGAAATGCTTCCAAAGGATCCTTATCACTCCAACCTAACCCATCCTTGTACGTTTATTCTCACTAGTGAATGTAACCCGAGTTTTCAATTCTATGGAAAATCCGCCAGCATTTCCCTACAGTTCTCCAAGTACATGATGTAGGCGATTAAACACACCTACATATGTACCCAGTGAACACAGTAGAGAAATGCATGAAAAGGCAGGATTTTCCCTAGAATAAAAAACAAGGCTTACATTCACCACCTAAGTGAGAATAAGCGTACAAGGACAGTCCCAACCGGGGACTATTCAAGACATACTCCTAATGTGTATGCCTTATATATATATATATATATATATATATATATATATATATATATATATATATATATATATATATATATATATATAAACTAACTTGCATTACATTAAACTAACAAATATACCATAATTTATCTAAAGAAAACTAACATATCATAATATTCAAATAAACCAATCAAACAAAACCAACTACACTAAAATATCATTATATTAAACCAAAATAAGATAAATTATATAAATTAAAATACACTAAGCTACATTATATTAAACTAAAGTAATGTAACATACATTATATTAAACTAAACCAAACCAACCTACATTATATTAAATTAAACAAAACTAAACAACATTATATTAAAATAAAGTAAGCTATCATACATCAAATTAAGCTAAACTAAACTAAACCAACATACATTATTATATTAAACTAAACCAAACTAAATTAACATATTATAATACAACTAAACTAAACTAACATATTACCCTAAACTATATCAAACTAAAGTAACGTGTTATAATAAAGTAATTAAAAATTATACTTAAATTAACTAAACTAATCTAACATTTTATAACACAAACACATTCATTTCAAATATTTTAACAAATTAAAATATAAATATAACAAATTGTAAATACAATAACTAAAATCAATAATAAACTACCATATATCTACACACCATTAGGATCTAACATGCCAAGTATAAAATAAATTTATAAATTTAGCTTTAAAATAATGTCTAACCTGTAGATCTGAGTTTGTAATTGCCAAATAAACAATTCAATACACAAAACCTACAAATATTCAAATTTCAAACAAAAAATTAACTCCAAATATAAGCTTAAACTACATTTATGATTTAAGGTTTTAAGTTTATGCTTGCATTTTGTATAAAAAATAATAAAAACATATGTGTACTTAAATTTAAAAAAAACAAAAAAAAAACAGAAAAAGCAAACAGAAACTACCTGCTGGCGGTGGCGGCGGCGGCTGGGCGTGGTGGTTGCAGACCCGTCGGCGATTTATTTTTTGGGGTTGATGGTTGTTAGTGAAAACTCCCGTACGCCATAGGTGAAAGGTGGTGGTTAGGGTTTTCAGGAAAAAGAAAAAAAAAATTAAATACACTTACCGGCGGCGGTGCAGCAGCGGAGGGGGGCGTGGTGGCGGCGGCTGGTGGGCATGCCCCTTTCTCTCTCTTCCTCTTTCTCCTTCTACCTTTCTCTCTCTTCCTCTTCCTCCTTCTCCCTTTCTCTCTCTTCCTATGTCGCCCTCCCTTTCTCTCTCTTCCTCTTTCTCCTTCTCCCTTTCTCTCTTTTCCTCTTTCTCCTTCTCCCTTTATCTCTCTTCCTCTTCCTCTTCCTGTGTCGCCTTCTCTCTCTTCCTCTCGTTTTTTTTGCTTCTCTGTTCTGTACAGAATCAGAAGAGTTGCGTTTTTTTTTTAATTTTTCTCAGCTTCCGACGGAAATTATTCCCTCGAAAATCACACGTTCCGACGGATTTTTCCGTCGGAACCTGAGATATTCGAGGGAATAATTACCGTCGAAAGCCTCTCCGAGGGAATATTCCGTCATAACCAACACATTCTGAGGGATTTAAAATCCGTCGGAAATGTTCCGAGGGAAAAGTCCGTCGGTAAGGCACTTTCCGACGGATTATTCCTACAAAGTCAATTTCCCTCGGAAATTTTGAATTTTACGAGGGAATAAATTCCGTCGGAAGCGTTCCCTCAGAAATAAGCCTATTTCTAGTAGTTCTTGTATACCGTTCCAGGATTTTTTGAATCTTCAAAACCCTCAGGTTGTGTCATATACACATCCTCCATTAAGAACCCATTCAAGAAGGCAGTTTTGACATCCATCTGCTATATTTCGTAATCGAAAAATGCAGCAATCTCTAGAAGAACCTGAATAGACTTAAGCATTGCTACTGGGGAAAAGGTTTCATCATAGTCAATATCATGAATTTGTCTGAACCCTTTTGCAACTAGTTTTGCTTTATAGATATAGGCATTCCCATCTTTGTCTGTCCTGATCTTGTACACTCATTTGTAACCAACGGGTTTGACCCCATTAGGAAAGTCTTCTAGGGCCTACACATCATTTTCATACATGGAGTCCATTTCGGATTTCATGGCCTCAAGCCATTTCCCTGAGTTGGGGCTTGCCAAAGCTTTCTTGTAGGTTGTGGGTTCCGCACCCTCCAATAGGAAGATTTTGGAATCCTTAGTTAACAGAACATTAAAAACTGTTTGTTTCTGATTCTGCTAGACCTACAAAGGGTAGGAGAAACAGTAGAAATATTCTCTTCAACACTTTGAAGATTTTCGCATGAATTAGATTCAAGTAGGACGATAGGAGTTTCACTAGTTGAATTAGCTTGCTCCGACGCATGATTTGTCAAACTAGTTGACTCATGTGCCCTCGCCTCTGACGTGGTGTTATCCACATCCATTTGTTGCTCGTCTCAAATTTCTTCGAGAACCACTTTACTCCTACTTGGATTTTTAAAAAGGAATTCCTTTTCTAGAAAGACACCATCACGAGCAACAAAAACTTTGTTATCTTCGCAATTGTAGAAGTAATACCCTCTTTTTTCCTGGGGATAACCCACGAAGAAACATTTGTCTGATTTAGGGCCTAGTTTTTCACCTTGTAAACGTTTCACATAGGCTTCACAACCCCAAATCTTGAGAAAAGATAAATTTGGAACCTTTCCATTCCACATATCATATGGAGTCTTTTCAACTGCTTTGGACGGGCTTCTGTTCAGTACTTTTGCAATTGGTTCTAATGCATATCCCCATAATGATATGTGAAGATCAGTAAAGCTCATCATGGATCAAACCATGTCTAGCAAGGTTCGATTCCTCCTTTCTGACACACCATTTAACTGTGGTGTTCTTGGAGGAGTTAATTGTGATACTATTCCACAATCCCTCAGATGATCATCAAAATCTTGAGTCAAATATTCACCACCACGATCAGATCATGCTTTAATTGTCTTCCCAAGTTGATTTTGTACTTCATTATGGAATTCTTTGAACTTTTCAAAGGCTTCCGACTTGTGCTTCATTAAATAGATATAACCAAATCTACTTAAATCATTAGTAAAAGTAATGAAGTAGTTAAACCCACCTCTAGCTTTTGAACTCATTGGTCCACACACATCTGTATGTATGAGTCCTAAAAGGTCACTAGCTCTTTCACCCATTCCTGTAAAAGGTGACTTGGTCATTTTACCTAACAAGCATGACTCACAATTTTCAAATGATTCATAATCAAATGATGAAAGGAGTCCATCCTTTTGTAATTTCTGGATGCGCGATTGGTTAATATGACCTAACCTACAATGCCCTAGGTAAGTTGGGTTTGAACCATCTGTTTGTTGCCTTTTATGATCTATGTTATAGACATGAGTTGTATAATCTAATATATATAAACCATTAACTAATTTTGCGCTAGCATATAACATATTATTCCTTGAAATAAAACAACATTTGTTTTTAATTTCAAAAGAAAAACCTCAGTATCTAAAACAGGAATTGAAACAATGCTTTTAGTAATCGCAGGAACATAATAACAGTTATTAAGAACCAAAACGAGTCCAGATGGGAGCTTGAGTTCATAGCTTCCAATAGCAAGTGCAACAACATTTGCTCCATTTCCTACTCGAAGCATCATCTCTCCCTTTGCTAGCCTTTTACTCACTCTTAAGCCCTGCATGTCATTAACAATGTGAGCAACATAACCGGTATCGAATACCCATGTGGAAGAGGAAGTAAGGTTAATTTCTACAACATAAATATTAGGTAACTCCTTACATTTCGTTTTAAACGACATTTTGTGGGGACATCCTGGTAAGTGGTAAGACCACCTACTGCAATAGAAGCACTGGATTCCTTCTTTCTCCAAGTACTCCTCTGTGTGGTTGATCAATAAATCGACAAGCGTGGCTGTAGAGCCTTCATCATCATGAATTAGCTTGACGAGATCAAATCCAGCATGGAGTGAAAACAAAATAGTGTCATGAGCAGGGTCATCATCAAATTAAACGGTCTCCCTAATATATCCATCCAATTGAGTATCTCAATCAGTTCCTTGACATGGGTCTTAACTCACTGAAAAGGTATGAGTTTCTTAGCCATATATCATCTTAAAATGAATATTGTAAGTCTCAAACCTTACACTGTTTGTCCAGGAGTAATATACCGTGGGAATCGAATCAATAATTTCTTAAACATTTTTGTGGATGATGTCTCCACTTCCTAATGCCCCTATGCCACCTCTACAGATAGCATGTAGGCATTATTGTAGTAAGGTTGGCTCATAATCCTTAATCCTTCTTTTCCTACAAGTTAGAATAGAGGCTAACATGAGATTCTTGATTTATTCTGCATTTGAAACATCTTTCGCATGCCTTTCTGGAGTTAAACCTATTGTGAATTTGCTTTCGATGGGAATATATAGGCGAGCTTCGAGCCCATGGCTCTTTAGAACACTTCTTAGCTCCCTTTCCCAATCCCTGAATTTTATGAGATTTAGCCTTGTTTTCAATTTAGTTGGCAAGTTAGTGTTGTCGTTAAAGCCATTCATTTAC